AGAAAAATCAGACATGAATGGGGATATCTGGTGTGGGGGGTATGATCACCATCATAGCTAAAGCCCTTAATTATCAACACCATCTTAGCTTGATGAAACCGGTGGGTGGATTTAATGCCTTAGACATTGATGCAATGATAAACAACTCTTTAATTAAGGAGTCAAACCGCGCCGGCATTTATAGTTTGAGAGTGAAGGGTAGGCAACATTGATACTTTCCCTCTCCTCACTTGACCCAAACTATGGGTGCGACAACTACTTGGGCGGTTCCCTTTGAACCCTTTCTTCTAGGAGACAATATTCCCGAGGTAAAGCCACCACCACCCTCACCTAGGAGAGAGCCTAGGAGGGCTAGCACCTCCACAGTGCCCGATTACTTGGTATGTTCCTCTACCTCTTCCCCATTTGATCTTGAGTCTACTTTTGGAAACTTGAACCTCATGCATTCCCAACATTTAGAATATCAAAGTTATGTAGCACAACAATCATATCAACACCAATTTAAGAGGGGCGACTTTCCCCCCTACCTCAACTATCCTAACTGACCCATTCAAGAGGGTCCCGTGCCGGGTTGGTGCAACAACCAATCCACATACCCATTTTAGAAAAGGCCACGTAGCTCCTTGATCGACCTACTTTCATACCCACCCTTGACTACACTCAACCCGAGGGTGGTTACTTTAGGGGTGACCCTAGCTATTATTACGTCCCTAACCCACCTAGTAAGTCAAGTTCATCATCTTCCACCCTTACCACTATTTGTATAGGGGGCATTATGGTTTCCCACCCGACAATGAGGGTGGATGGGGCACACGTGGAATGCCGGATTACGGTCATTACCGTAGTCAACAAAACTATGATTTGCCCCCTACACCGATGCCTCCCTCCGGGTACCCTAGGCGACATTGACCTTGACTATAACTTTGTATACTCGCCCGGGAAAGCCCAACTTAGGGAGGATGATGATGGGGATGATAAGTAGGCCCCTCTTTTACCATCCTCTACCCCTCTTTTCTTATCTAGAGACACCAAGGCTGGTGTCAAGACCTAGCTTGGGGGGTGTGTTTCACATTGTCCTTTTAATTTATGGGGATGGTAAGTGCCTAGCTTGGGGGAGTGTTTTGGGTGTGAGCTATTGGGGTTGGTTATTGGTGTTGATTTTGTTGTGCTTGTTGATCGTGCTTACTTGTTTACTCTTTAGACACATTTGTTGCATGCTATATGAGATTTGTGAGATTAAATGTGGTATGGAAGATGCTAAAGGCCGTTAGAAGCCTTCTTGGTTTTTTGGTTGGTCTTGACTTAGAATAGTTGCATTTTGATGTGGTTACCTTCATAGTTCTCATATGCATGTGTCTTAGAGTATTTATCCAAACTATGACTTTAATTATTCAATCTCTTTCTTGAAATGTCTTGTTTGATGATGGTGATGATTTCATGATAACGATTGTTGTGTTGGTTGTTGATTTGTTGAGATAATTGGTGATTCATGCTCCCTTTTTAATACAAAGCCCTTAAACCAAATTTGCTTCCTTGAAATCCAAATTAGCTTCCTCGAAATCCAAACCTCTTGTCATCTGAATATTACTTCTCCCTCTCTAGTTAGTGATGTGTATATATTTGCTTTCCTAAACTAAAAAAAAAAAAAATATAAAACAAATGAAAAACGAAAAAAATTCCCAAGGATGAAACTGAAATGACTGTTTTTATGTGATTCCCTTGTTTGACTCTTAAGTGATGAATAGTTAGTTTTTTTTTAAAAAAAATGTGTATGCAAGAGTTGGGGTCATTTAGAAATTTATTAACCTTGATTGCAGAAGTGTATCTTAACCCATTCAAAAGTGGAAACGTTCGAAATTGGTCAACATCCTTAAGGAATAGTGATATGAGTCTTAAGTCCATGAATTTCACTGTACATTTGGGCAAAACTTTGGCAATTGCCTTGCTTGAACTATATTTCATGCATTTGGTTTTCATTTGTTGAGTCAACAAGCAATTTTCCCCTTTTCCCCCACTTCCACTCAATTCTGGTTTTAGTACTCCATATTTCATGATTCTCATCTTCCTTTTCTCTCTCCTCTCTCTTTTTCCTTCATTGAAGGGCCGATTTCCATTGAAGTAGAGTTTTTTCTCCTCCATTAGAGCTGAGGTAAGAACTTCTTATGTTTTTTGTCAACGATAAACTACGAGTAATGGTTTGGATTATTGACTTTGTTTTTTTTTGAATTTTTATAGATTATAATCATGGAACTTATGTTTGGGTTTTTGAATAAAAGATTATGTTTGGGCTGAAATGGTTGCTTCAATGTTAGATTAATGGAGAATGAAAAAAAATGCCAAGTTTTATTTCCTCCATTACTAAAGCGACTTTGAGGTAAATCGTCGATTATCAATTTCATTATATAGAGTTTATCTTTAATTTTTTAATTTATTTGTTAGTTTAGTAAATTTAACGTACTCAAATCATAAATCCAGATGCTGCAACTTTGAGAAATCAATGGAGGTTTGCTATAAGGTATACAACATATGGTATTCTCATGCTTGGGGTATTGATATTCTTGCAGGCAGGGCCTTCTTTGCTCTAGGTTGGATCATCAAAGGTGGTAACCTTCTTCCTTCTAATGGTGTTGATATTCATAAAAAAATCTGAGGTTTCTTCAACTGCTGCTTGAAATCAAGGAGAAAAATGATTTTCTAGGGTTAGTATTTAATCTTGTCCAATATTGTTTATGATTTTTGATTTTTTTTTCCTTAATTTGTCAATTGAGTTTTATTTTTCAGAGTATTTTATAGGGGAAATGTTATTTGGGGCATTTCAAATTAGAAGCATCTTGATTTATTGTGATTAGAGTAGGGTTGTGTGATGTTTAAAATATTGATATAACGGGATTGTTGTGTTGTTTGCTAATGAGATTCGTAATTAGTGTGAGATTTAGTTGTGGTATTTTATTTAGTTGTATTTAGTTCTAATCCTATTCACAACTAAAAAATTCGTGCTATTTCGTATAAAATTTTAAATTCACTACTATATTGATTATATACTTGTATTTCTTACAAGCTTCTGCCCACTAATTAAAAATATATATATATATATGAGGAAAAATGAGTAGAAATGTGTAGTTCTGTTTTGCAAAGTTCATATATGTTCCATACTTTTTTGGGTTCATAAATAAATCTTCCTCTGCTTTGCCCTAGACCAACAAATTGGTAGGCTCTATGTCTGCATGGAGGTGACTATTGTTTAACGATTCTGTTCATAGATAACAAAGAGATAAGAGAATTAGTAACTGGGTGAGACAATAGTGAGTGCATGCAGTGTGTACATGTCTTGTAATTGTAACATAAAAGTTATTGGCTAGAGTCTTGTGAATGGTTTAGAGAGTTTTAAGCATCTTTTTATGATTTAAAGGAGTTGATTCAGTTTCATCTATAATGCTTGGTAAATTGTAATACCTTTGCGGACATTATCATACCTTATTCTCATGCAAGACCCATTAACGTTACCTTTCCCTCAAAGATGACAAGGAAGCTACACACAAGGCCAAGCAACCATCTATCTGAATTTGCTTAAGATGTTGAAAATTTTCCCCAAACACAGTAATAGGTTGAAAAGATCAAAATATACAAATGAGCAACTGAACATAAATCTAATTAATTAGAAACAAATTTGCTAAAGACACAAAGAATTCAAAGTATGGGCTGGCAATGGAGCCAAAAAGTTATAAGCACCAAGTCAACAATACTTATCAACAATATAATATGCTGTCATCTACTTGAGGAAAATAGTAATTTTGCAATTTCCTCCACTGATAGGTACGAGTGTTACCATACTCAACTGCATCACATGTATTTACTGAAACTTTCACATCTATTTACAACCCTGTCAACGTTTATAAGCACTAACCTTGCAAGCCTTGGTTTGGTGGCCAAGGCTATCGAGAAAAGAAAATATCTTTTAATTTATTCTGATGGTAGCAGACTAAAAGTAAAAACTCCAGTATTCTCTAGCTTAATTGTTGCACTTTCATTAGTGGAATAAGTACGAGGTGCACCCACTTTATATTCTATTCTCTAATTATAGCTCTTTGATTTATATAATTAGTGTGAAGGCTAGCCAAATCTAAGCCTATATGTAAGTTCCGCTCTTTTTCTGGCACAAGAGAAATTTTTACCCCACAGAAGACATGGTTATGTGAACGAAATAGATAGCACAACTTTTTTAGTTGGGTGACTTGTGAATTCTAACCCTATTCTAATTTAAAATTTGTTTTTAACATCCATGTCTTCTGTCGTTAGGTGACTTGTGAAAGTTTAGGGTACCCAAATACCAAACGTATATGTGTGAACTAAGTTACTCGGATTACAACCTGAAGGTTCTAATATAATGATCTTTATGCAGGTGAAAAGGGAAGTTGTCGACATTGTTCCTAGCTTAACTAGGCCTGAAGATGGAATGTAGTCCCTTGCCCAATATTCCAAAGTGGTTTTGCAAAAACAATCTGACCTTTTGCGTGATCCGAGGTTGAGGTTGCTTTCTCCCTTGACTCTTAAATCTTTAACCTTTTTCTTTAACCCTTTTTAGAACTAAAGCTTGCTTAGCTTGGTGTATTGTGAAAGCTAAATTATGGAACAATGGAAGATATCTCTCAAGTAGTTTAGGAGATTACATTGAAGAATTAACCAAATTATATAATCTATAGCATGAGTTCACTTCTAAAATACTAATATGCTCATGTTATCCTCTATAAGGCACTAGTAGAAAAAATCAAATAGGCACCCCCCCTTTAGCACCGGTTCTTGAAAATCGGTGCCAAAAGAAATGGGCGGGATTAGAAAATAGGACGTTGGCATCGGTTCCAACCAAAATCGGTGCCAACCTTTTAAAAAAAAAAAAAAAAACAAAAAACAAAAAAGCAATAGAGTTGGCACCGGTTCTCCTTAAACCGGTGCCAACTATAGTAATTAGTACCGGTTTGAACCGGTGCCATTTAAAAAAAAAGAACCCGGTTTAAGGCGCGTCTTCTTCTTCAATTCATTTCCTTGCTCTTTCCTCTTCGCTCTCATCTAATCTGCCTCTCTGTCTCTCCTTCATTGTAGCGTACTCGAATTTCTCCATTGAAGGGGCTTCTGAGCTTTCCTAACACTCCGTCTCTCTCCTTCGATCTCATTCTCCATAACCGTCACTTTTCCTTTCCTTTCTTCTCTCTTTCGATCTCCTTCTCCTTCTCTTTCTCTCTTTCTACAATATTGGAGGTTAGGGTTTCTGGGTGCGTCTATTTGAATCAATTCGATGTGTGTGCGTGTTCAACAACAACAAATTCGAATCAATTTCGAACCAACAATCAGAAATTCGAGGTTAGGGTTTCTGGGTTTTTTTCCTGGTTTTGCTCCTCTTCTCTTCTTTATTCCTGCATTTTTTTTCCTTATTTTGTATTATTAATCTATCATAATCTTATATTAATGGATGGGAGAAATGTTTCTGGTCAAGTATTTTGATTACGCAAGAGTCAGAAATCCTATATACCAAAGATTGTTTACCAGGGGCGGCGTTAAGAATTCTCTTTATATACCGGAAATGCATGTTTCCACAGGCTCAAATTGACTGATCCTGAATGTTCTGAACGACATAAACAATTTTTCTATAAATTTTTGTGATGGGTTTATATTGTTGATGTTTTCCCTCTTATTATTGGTATGTCCTTTACTTGGAATAGATTAATTTCTAGTTTCATGAAGAAAATTAGAAAAGAACATTTAGAGAAGGTGGAAGAATAACGGGACAGTAAATAGCTAAGAAAATATATTTGTATTTTTATTAGACAACAGTTTAATTTTTAATGATGAGCAACAGATTTTGAAATGATATTTGATGTCAAATGTTTATGAATCTAGAGTGGATTGTATGTAAGAGACATTGTTGTCGTAAAAAATCGAGCTATGTTACTTAAAAAGATAAAAGTATCAAGGTGTGGCTTGCACTGTCAAATTATGCAGCTATACTATGATCTTGTTGATTGGACACCTTCAGCAGGTACTCATTCAAGTTATTGATGGTGCCTACTGACTTTGATAGAATTATATCATTTACCTTCAATTATTTTATGGTAATCTATATTTGCTCAAGGTCTTTTGGTTGTAAAATTTGGTAATCACTATAACTTGCTCTTCATTATTTTGTGAATTTGTAGTTGTGGTGATTGATTGTTAATGCCCAAAGCTGCCACTCGATTGAATGGAGAAGCTTGTAAGTATTTAGACCAGTTGGCTCTTTCTGTCTTTCACTGAAAACTCATGATACAACTTCACTTTTTTAATATCCTTCCTGAATTTGCTGTTATGTACTCTCTCTACAAGACTACAACTATGGAAAGAATAGGATGATAAAATGTGTGTAAAATAAATGAATTTAGCCTATATGCATTTTGTACCCTGTTGACAATTTTGGACTTCAAAAAAGTATTACCTTTTCTTTTGCTTTCATAAATTCATTCCCCTTAATTGCACTTTGCTCATTTTCCCATCCTAGCTGTATTATTGCTCTATACAGAATTGCTGCTCAAAGTTATATTGTAAAAATGATAGGTGATGAATTGATCCTTCCAGGTCTTAAAATGTGAATATGTTGTTTGTGGAGCGATTGTTACTCAAGCCGAGGTAAGAAAGTAAAGGACTTGATTATTGTTCTTGTTAAAATGGTTTATACAATTTTTCTATAAAATTTAGATGTCAATTTGCATAAAATATCTGAGAACACAGAATACGATAATTTAGCTAAAGTTGAGGTTGAAGATATTGAAAACGAAGTAAATTCTGCTGTTATTTGCTACTTCCTTGAGGCTAATCTTCTAAATGTGTTTGAAAATTATATTAAATTCATTTTATGATTTGCCTATATGACTTATAATTTGCTTTTGTTTTTTTAGTATTTTTCTTTTGTGAGGAAAGCTTATCTAAGTTCCTTCTCTGTATAATAGGGTTTGATGTAACGGAGATTTCAGAGGATAACCAAGACGATCTTGAGGGATTGGATGCCTCGGCGTCACATATTGCAAATCTATTATCAATAGAGCCTGCTGATGGTAACAGTCTGAACTTTGCACAGCTAGAATATATTTAGCAATAATATGATAAAACTATATGACAACAATAAGTTTATAACAGCTTAATTATTTTTATTTACTAGTGTAATCCAACCAGAATACAATACAAATGTTTGTGAGTTTCATTTTACACCTGCTGTTAAACTGATTGCTTTTTCTGGGCATCTTTTTCCTTCTGTTGCAAGAGCCTTTTTCCTTCTGGGGAGATGATTGCTAAGTAGGTATCTTTTTTATACTATTGGTTCTGCAGAATACATTTGAAGAATATACTGACAGAACTGCTTTTGAGAGGCCACTCACCAGTGGTGTTGCCTATGCATTGAATGTTACTCACTCTGAGAGGGAGAAATTTGAAAAGCGTCAGGGATGGACTATAAAGAAGATGGAGCACGGGGATCAGAATCTTGTACAAGATTTTGATCCTGCAAAGATGGATCCTGCACCCATTCAAGATGAATATGCACCTATTATATTCTGTCAAAGAACAGTAGCTCATATTGTCTCTATAGACAGGATGTCTGGAAAGGTATGTTCTTCAATTATTTAGGGTTCTTTATTTATAAGGTAACATGTTTGATGAATTTCTATCTCTATTAATGTCATTCCCGGCAGTATAGTGTGTATTGTGAAATCTGTAAATGTAATTTAATGAGTCAAGTTAGAAATTCCTGTTCTAAATTCTATTTGTGACGAGCAACTTTGCTGGAGTGAAATATATTTTTTGAGGAATCTCTCCTGAGTCTCCTTTTGATTATGTATGGATATTTATCTGTAATTAATATGACTCTCTCTTTAATTATTTATGGATACATATCTGTAATCAACTTTTTTCCAATTCAGTTCATCGTATATATGTTGAAAGCGTTTGGAAGCTTATCGTTTCCATTTTTCACGCTTGGCTCAAGCTTTTCTTTCCTGAAACCTTTCATTTATCAGAATTGTATCTATCTAAGCTTATTGGATTTGATATGAAGCTATTCTTATTCTAGTTAATATATTATCTGAGCTTATTTGAACCATCAGTCCATATTAAACTATCAGACATGAATTATTGTAAGTTGTAAAGAATAGGGCCTACAATCAGTCTGGCACTTTAATCCCCTGACTGAAATGATCAGGATTTGAAGTGTCCGTATCTCTCATCAGCAATTAAAAACTTAAAACAGAATAGGGACTCTTTAATGACATCTATTATCTATATCTGATATAATTGTAGTTTCTACTTCAGCCACTACAAATAAATTAAGGTAAATTTTTATATATGCAGGAAGACCGTGACAATATTTTGCGAGCCAGGGCAACTGGAAAGGGTGTCTTGACTTCTCCATTTAAGCTACTTAAATCTAATCACCTGGGAGTAGTACTTACTTTTGCTGTCTATGACCATGAGCTTCCACCAGATGCCACTCCAGAGCAACGCATAACAGCAACTATGGGGTAATAAGTTTTTCCTTTGAACCTTGTTGCCTCTTTTACTTTGAACTATATATAGCAACAAATTAGAACGCCCATGAACGGTGTTTTAGGTAAGAAGGAATTTGACATAGAGTATATTCTGTATTTGATTAGTTTTTGCTATCTATGTTGGATCTGAATTTTGGCCTTTGTTTTAGGTATGCTACAAATGTTGATGGATACTGATCTGGATGCTGATCAACTTGATTATGCCCAGACAGCTCATGCCAGCGGAAAGGATCTCATTTCCATTATTAATGAGGTTCTTGATCAGGCCAAGATAGAATCAGGCCGGCTTGAGCTTGAGGCAGTGCCCTTTGATTTGCGTAATATCCTAGACAATGTTGTTTCTCTATTCTCGGGAAAAAGAAATTGAAGTATGATCAATTACTTAATCATGTAGAAGTTAATTTTTTATCCAAATTTGTGAGTGTAATTGAGTCCTAATTTTTATTTCCTTATTCATTGTCGGCAGTTGGCGATATATGTATCCAATAAGGTACCTGAGATTCTGGTTGGAGACCCTGGGCGATTCCGACAGATAATAACAGATCTTGTTGGTAATTCAGTAAAGGTTAGTTTGCTAGCCTTATAAATAATTCTTTGCCTCCTTTCTTGTTTGTTCTTCATAATAGTGTAGTTAGGTGTGGAGCTGTGGTCTGTGGATGTCTAGCTTGTCAAATTCGAGGGCTAAATTTGGCCTGGTTGTGTGATAACCAATAGGTTCTTACAAATAATTTCTTTTCATTGGAAGTATAAGCCTGTTAAAAATTATTCATTCTGTGAAGATCTCCACATTTTGAAATTTGTAACTTATTTTTGTGTGGTGCATGTATACAAAAGCCTATTTTTTTGGGTGAATATTTAATTTCTTAATACACTTACTCTACAAACCTTTTGCATAGTATAGACGAGTGAGATTAATATGCACTTTGATCATCCTGGTATCTTTGTGAACATGTGAAGTATGTAGAGCACCTGAGCATGCTCGATTCTTGGCTACTCCTTCAATGTGACCATTTGAACAATAGGCAGAAAGAAGATGCTTTAAACTTTAGATGTGAAATGCATAAATCAATGTGGTTCATTCAAAGATAGATCTGACAAACATTTTCTGGTTGCAATATTTGGCTGACCGCCTTTGATACTGTCAAGAGTCTAGTTGCTGCAAGTGAGAAAGAGTTTCAGAGTATTGTTGAGGGAAACCGTAAGGAGGCAAAAGCAAGCTCAGCTCATTGAACGTTTGCTAGCTGCTGTTGGAGTATTTCTTAATTCAAGGTGTTGTTTTCTTATTTTGTTTTGAAAGTTAACAGAAAAAATGTAACTTTATATATATGTTAATGTTTATATATCAATTTAAGTGAAAAAAACGCAAAAAAAAAAAAAAAAATTTAAAATTTTGGCACCGGTTTTTACCAGAACCGGTGCCAAAAGTTTTTAAAATATTTTTTGAGACTATTGGCACCGGTTTTAGGCAAGAACCGGTGCCTAAAAGGGGGTTATTCGCACCGGTTCTTTCCTAAAACCGGTGCCAATAGTATTGATAATAAAAAAAAATTCCCGCGTTTGAAGTTGGCACCGGTTTTGAACCGGTGCCAAATTTTTGAGGATTTGGCACCCCTCAAATCCCCAACGGTTCAAAACCGGTGCCTTAGGGGGGGTTTGAACCGGTGCCAAATTACCTTTTTCGTCTAGTGAGGGTATACACGGTCATTTTTAATGATGAATATTGAGCTATTTAGGGAGGATTATGAAAATGCATAATCATAGTGTTATAAATTATATAAAGAAATAAAGAAAGAAAAAGAGCATAAAAATAGTTGGGAAATATGAATAATCTAGTTGTTAGTTTTTGTAAACAATGATATCTTATTTCCTACTCCACTCATTGTTGTATTTGACTTGACTACTTGATTCTCCATGTTTCATAAGAAAAGATTTGATTGGAGTTTCTTATGCTTTTGATTTCTTAATTATCCATGTTAAATTTTGATCGAGTCTCTCTAATATTTTGTAAGATCTATAAGCAAAAGAAAACATGTATGATAAAGCCATGTTGGGTTTTGGATTGGCCTAGACCTAAAGCCATCAATAACTGATGTTGCCACCATATACGTAACTTTTTGCATCTATGGACTTTGTTATGGATCTGCTTATTTCACTCTTTGATGTCCATTGGAATCCTTATATATATATAATTGTATTGGTGCATAAAATGTCTTAATTATATTTTTATATACTATCATGCTTTAATACTACATATGAGCATATGAAATGATGAATCGTTCAAAAGAAAAAGTAAAAAAAAAAAAACAAAAAAAAAACAATGATGATAAAAAAGAGCAATTGTGAGAATTAGAATGATGATGCTGCCTGTTTAAAGCTCCTTTTTTATTATGCTATACTATACTAAGTAATTCTCGTAGCCCACATTTTATATTTTAACTCTTCCGCAAATATGTCACTTTTCTTCTACCAAAGATATAAAGGAAAAGAAAGAAAGAGTTAATTTTCATGCTCTTTCCAATAAAGGGCTGAGTATGACAGAGGAGTCAACACTTTTTCTCTTGATGGTATGGAAGTTATAGCTGCATATTAATGTGACTTTCTGGCATGTTGGGAGCTTGCTCATACATGATTACGCCATTTAAGTGACACTGCCTACTAAAATTTGCTAGTAATTGTGCTGATTTCTGGTTTCCATATGTTTAGGAAGTGAAGACAAGAGGTGGGTTTAAAGGACAAATTGAGAAGAGGTAGTAGGAGAGAGATGAATTCCAGAAAATGGCTATCGGCAACCAGGTTCGAAGCCTGGAAGGCGAACACCCTCAGCTCCCCTCTTATATTTAAGCCCTTTTCTTACACTGATTTAGGGATAAGATTTGAGTTTCTTTATTTGGATGTGAGTATTAGTGAGAAATTGGGGAAACGATTACTCATACTTTATCGATCGATAATTAAAATTAGCTTTACCTTAAGACTTTCTGTATATGGTGACAAAATGGCTTATAATAGTCAAATACGAGCTATAATAAATATATTTTTAGTACTGTAAATGTTATTAAATCTATTGGGGTATCTCAAAAGATTGGAATTTCCACTATTTTCTTGGATGTGGCTGATGATCTGCATGCTAAAAAAAAAATTTACAAATCCTTAGATGAATATTTTTCTAATGATTTTCTTTCAGATAACTGAGCACCAAGGTGATTTATAAAATTTGTTTAATATAATGCAATGATGATGTATGAGAGTTAAGGTGAATAAATATGCTTTGTGCCCTATCTCTCAATCTCTCCTCCACTGAAGTAATTTGAATTCTCCATTGAAAAGGCTTGTGACTTTGTGAGCTTTCTCTCCTCTATTGAAGGAGCTTTTGAGGTGAGATGTTTATTAATCAGCGAATATCAGTTTCATAATCTAGGGTTTATCGTTGATTAATACCGAGAATGAGGCAGGGAGAGGTCATGAGAGTTTCCCGAGGATCGTTTTTCCCTTCTCCTTAGATGACTATTGGTTACGGTGGTTGTCCTTCGTCGGTGATTTATCCAGACACTATTAAAACGGTCTTCGAACCATTAGATGCAAGAACCTTACCTGCTTTATCTGTCTCTGTAGTTGTGATTGTAACTTTGCTTTCTGCATGCTTCTTGATCTTCTAACCAAAAAAATCACCAACCATTAAAGGCTGTGATGAGTGTACACCATTCAAAGTAGTCAAATTTAATCTGGGTTTGAAGAATTTTTCGACGTTTTGGGTAATTTTTCTATTTGGCTTGGTAGAAAGATCAATTGTTGGTTTATTCTATACGAAATACTATATTATTTGGCTTGGTAGAAAGATCAATGGCTTGGAAGTTTCTATTTATGCTTCTTTTGGCAAAATCCCCCTGCTGGCTATATAAAGGTCAAAATCCTTTTCAAATCATCTATAGCTATTCTTAATTTGATAAATTTGAGAATACTAAGTGAAATAAATATTTGCTATTTTGTAGAAAGATAAGATCTAGACCGCTGAGGTTTTCTCAAAGATTAATGACCCATTTAGGCTGGAAGATGAGCTTGATCTGCTTGCTGTTATTGCTGAGAAGGAACGTAAACAAAAAGCTTTCAGTATTATGGGTGTGTTCACAATTAAATAAGTTTAGCTTGCATTTATTATTGTTGGTGGGGGGCTTCTTGTTCACAATTAAATAAGTATTATGGGTGTGTTCACAATTAAATAAGTTCAAATTCAACTGTTGAAGCATGTTGCTTCCATTGTGCATTACTTTTTCTTCTGGATCTCATTAACATCTTGTGATTTCTGTGAATAAAGATAAAAAAAATTATGGACTAATGATGGTTTATTATCTGAATCAGAAAAAGATGAGAATTTTGAGAAGTGGGATTTATAATGATATAGGTTAAAGACTCTTTTTTTAGTGAAATAAGATGAAAATGGAAATTTGTATGCTAAAAAAAGGAAAAAGGAAAGTCATGGTTGATGCAATATGTGGTGTTTAAGGAAATAAAAGTGGAAGTAAAATGATATTAATGAGTATAATTATTTAGAAGAAGGGTCATACGGTTAGCACCAGAGAAGAAAAAGGGGTGCTTTTTTAGTTGTTCAAAATAAAGGTTTTGGTTTTTACTTCTTGACACTTAATCAGCAAAAAATACAGAAGGTTGACAACAACCTTGGATGGCACCAGTTTTCCTACCTTCTTAAAATCCCTAAATAATATTTCTATTTGGTGCGAAGGATCTCAAATGAAATTTGTTACCATGAAGCAAAAGCACGGCAAAATAATGTTAAATAAAAAGTTTACAAGCTCTAATCTATTGCAAAAAGACAAATTCTTTACTATCATAATCATTGTTTCCATGAAGCATAAACACAACAAAATAATGTGGAATACGAAGTAAAAGTTAACATCCTCTAATCTACTGTAGAAAGATAAATTCTTTACTATTATAATTCCAAGAGCACGTAATTTAATCAAATAACTAAGGCAGATCTAAGCTTAGTGTGATTAGGATTAAATTATAGTTGTAATAGGAGTGAGTTAGTGATGCTTGAGTTCAGATTTCTTGCCTATCAAAGTATTGATAATTTTGGGTGAAACTTTGCTATTAATTTTATTACCTCTTGTTCTGCTGAGATTGGGGTATTGTTCTAGAAAATAGGAATTATATATGTCAATGAATGAGTGAAATGTTGAAGTTTGAATCTATTTGATTGCTATATTTGTAGGATTTTGGATAGGTAGCCCTTGTGTTTGTCAACTAGCCCTAATACAACTAAGCTACAGCAACTCTAACCTCCCCTTCCTTCAGTATTAAGCCATGCTTTACGCACCTCCTCTGGCTGCTATACTAGCCATTTGGAGAAGATCTCGATAGTGAACTTTTGAGCTCGGAATATGCAAACTATTTTGTGCAGACTACAGGTATCTCAAACGCTTGATAACAAGCCAATTTTTTTTAACGAGAACTATAGTTATCTTATCACTTTGTTGAACTGTTTTTTTTAGCCAGTGCTAATTTTTAATTGGCTTGTTATTTATGGTTAATTTTCGATACATTATGCAAGAATGGAGATCCTGTTTGCAGGAATCGAGCCCAGTCGACGTGTTCCTTTAATTTAAATATCGAATCGTATCGCTTTAGCCGTGTACGACGGTGACAGTAGCCGAGTACAACCTTGACACACACAAGTCTAGAAGTTTGTATAAAACATTCAAGGTAATCCTTTGCTTCCCTACTCAAAGGATGATATATATTTCATAAACTTGAGTGTACTCCTAAACTTACTTCATGATCTTTTTAATATAAAAAGATAGGACAAATAGCAATAAAAAGGATGTAATAAACGTAGATAATTGCAACTGACAAAATGCTAAAAATGCAACACGATAAGGACCATTGCCATTAAATCAACACAAATTTGTAATGAGGTATAAATGCTAATTAGAGTAAGATATTGGACCATTTTGTTTGGAAAAAATCAATAGACTAGAAGAATACTAAGAACTAAAAAAATTAATGATTAGACCAGTTATCAGCAGCCCATTATATCACAGGGTTATAATTATAAATGATTAAGGTAAGGAACATAGATTTCCGGGGTTAATATTTACGACTTTACATTGATAGTGTAATTCGAACTGGTAATGTGAGGACATCATGTAATTTGAATGGATAATGCAAGTTTGACAGCTAATGTGGAGAGAATGAGTTAAGTATATGGTGAAAACATGGTTAATAATAGCCAAATACGAGCTATAATAAATGAATTTTTAGTGTTGTGACTGATGATCTGCATGCTAAAAAAAAATTCACAAATTCCTTTAAT